AGCGGGAGACCCGCGGCCGGCCCGTGTGTGGGCCGGCGCAGAGGCCTCCACCCCTGGCATGTTTTCAGCTCAGCTTAGGATCTAAACTCAGGTTTGCAAGGCATCTTGCAGCACTGCCGTCAGTACCCCAACATATACACTACTCTGTTAATTCCTTAAACGCATATTTTCATTACATTTTTCCATGAACTTTTTCAATTTTTGCTGTATGGTTTTCTTCTTGAACTGACTTTAAGCATAATGGTAGTTGAGCAGTGATAATGAGCCTCCTTACCTCATTCACAACTGAAATGAGAATTCTGAAATTTTATTGTAGATTTTAGTAAATACTGCTTTTGGGGTTGTTTTGTTTTGTTTTGTTGTTTTTTTGGGGTTTTTTTGAGGTTTTTTCGCTATAGGGCGTGTGCGCTCGCCAGACAGAGAGAGACAGAGAGACAGAAAGCGAGAAATCACCCCCCCAGGGGGGATGGGCACACATGCACACGCGCCCGGCGTGAGTTCTAAGCCACCGGCTCCGGGATGTGAACCGCGGCTGACTACGTGGGAGTCCGGCGCCATAGCCATTACACTAATTGCTGGTTCCCAATACTGCTTTTGGTTTAAGGAACAAAGTTTCATTCAATTCCTAGTTTCTTAGGCATTTTATCATGAATAAGTATTGAATGCTATCAAATACTTTTTTTTTAACTTTATTTATTCATTCATTTATTTATTTTCAATTTGACCAGAGAAGGACAGAGAGAGAGAGAGAGAAGGAAAGTGAGAGGGCAAACCGCCAGAAGGCCAGGCCTTGAACTGTGGTCTGCCATGTGGGAATATAGCACCCTTAAACACCATGCCATCTGCCAGCCCTCAAAAATACTTTTTTGTGTGTATTTTTCAATGTTTCTAAAGATTATTGTCTTGATTTTCTTACCTAAAATGAGTAGAAATTCTAATGTCGAATCATTTTTGTCTTCTGATGCTAAACTTTACTTTATTATGGTATATTTGGTTTTACATGAGAATATATTTGGGAATTTTTGTGTCATAGTACTGAGTGATATTTGTTAATAGTCTTTTCTCATGTCATGGCTATATTAAGCTAGAAAAGTAAGTTGAATCTCATTTCTTTTTCTGGTCTTGGCATCAGTTTGTGTGAGATTATGGTTATCTGTTTTATGTATGTTTGATGAAACAAAATTTTCAGTAAAGAAAATCTGTTTAGTGTCTTTTAAGTCAGACAGAGCCAGGAACTTTTGATACTGAGATTTGTCAGTTTGGGACATTATTATTCTCAAAAATCATCTGTAGAATATTATCTCTGTTTTTATATTATTTTATTTATTTATTTTATCACATCTTCACAGTACACATTTCCTCCTGCAAAGGGAGACCCACTCAGGTCTTCCATGCGTTTTTCCAACACAAATACCACGCACGTCAGTCAAGACAAGGATATATTACTATGTACATTATCATCAGCAAATAGCTTCTCATTTTTATCAGTGAAGCATACTTTTACTTGTTTTTTTACTTTCCCTTTCCCCTCCCTCCCTTTCATACTAAACTCTTTTTTTTTTTTTTTTTTTTACATTTTATTGATTCATAAAAGATCTTAAAGTATGGACATAGCTAGGATCTGTGACAAGTGCATTGTAATTTTCTTGCTTTTACATTTATTGGTATTGATACTGATAGTATCCACTTATTTTTTAAATTTTTACATTCTCTGATGTATCTTTTGATCTTAACAGTTGTTTGGGACACAATTGGAAGAAGCTGGTATGGCAGTAAGGAAGGATATTAAGATCTGGGGGGTAGGATTATTTGAAAGCAATTAAGAAAATAACCATTTTGTGTCATATTATCTGTGTTCCATCTCTAGACCGTCTGTTCCTGTTCAGTTCCAGTACTTTTTGCCAACTTACCCACCTTCTGCGTACCCACTGGCAGCACACACCTACACCCCGATCACTAGTTCTGTATCTACTATCCGACAGTATCCAGGTATGAGTCCTCCTTTTAAGGTGACTTTTCATGTGCCATTTTTGCCAGCAATGTGATGGGAATTGATCTGGGAATATTTCTAATATGATCTTTAATTACTCTAACTTCTATTATCAGATTCAGATCAAGTTAAATGAGATTATTTAAGGCCTAAATCACCATCTTTGTAATCTATAAAAGAGTTGTTACTTATTGATATTTGCATACTTTTACTGCTTTGTAAGGATGGTCATGTTAACAGTTTTGGTTACTCCTTAATATGATAGGACACTTATAGTGAATATAGCTGTAGTCTGATGGGGCCTCTTTTGTTTTATAAGGTATCTATTGTGTTTTTAAGTTATCTAGTTATACTCACCAGTTATGCTTATATACACAGTGTTTTTTCTGCTAACTAGGGAATAACAGTCCTTAAATCTCAGGATTTGTGGGACCTTTGGCTTACTTTGGGCATCAGAAAACCTTCTGGTCCAGATTGTGGCCTTTGGGCTCCTGCTGTGTAGCCAGTGTCTCACGTGGTCATTAAGCATTTGAAGGGACTTAGTGCAGGTGAAAACCAGATTTTTGAGAGCCAGCAGGTGATGCAAAATTTCAGGTGGCTGGATCCCACATGACCAAGTTGAGTGGTTGGATCCTTAATCCAATGGCTTGAAAAACATGCTGGGTGCATGTGTGTGCATGCCCAAAATCCTGAGAGGAAAATGAAGAAGGGGTTGCAATGTGGCCATCCCCTACGTGGGGTGATTTCTCACTCATGCTTTCTGCCTCCTTCTCTTTTTCTCTGTCTCTGTCCCTGGTGAACACACATGCTCTATAGCAAAACCTAAAAAAATTGTTTTTAAATAAAAATAACAAAATTAGAGGGAACCAGCAGTTAGCGTAATGGCTATGTCGCTGGACTCCCACGTAGTCGACCGCGGTTCGCGTCTCGGACCCGGTGGCTTAAATCTCACGCCGGGCGCGTGTGCGTGCGTGCCCAAGATCCCGAGAGGAGAATGGAGGAGAAGGGATTGTGGCGTGACCATCCCCCCTGGGGGGTGATTTCTCGCTTTCTGTCTCTATGTCTCTCTCTGTCTGTCTGGCGAGCGCACGCGCCCTATAGCGAAAACCTCTCCAAAAAAAAAACAAAATTAGAGAAATTTTAAATACATCTGTTGTCCAGTGGGGAATTGATTCCAGGATTCCCCTTCAAATATCTGTTACTGGGAACCAGCAGTTAGCGTAATGGCTATGTCGCTGGACTCCCACGTAGTCGACCGTGGTTCGTGTCCTGGACCCAGTGGCTTAAAACTCATGCCGGGCGCGTGTGCGTGCGTGCCCAAGATCCCGAGAGGAGAATGGAGGAGAAGGGATTGCGGCGTGACCATCCCCTCTGGGGGGTGATTTCTCGCTTTCTGTCTCTATGTCTCTCTCTGTCTGTCTGGCGAGCGCACGCGCCCTATAGCGAAAACCTCTCCAAAAAAAAAAAAAACTTAATTCTATTGTAATTTAGTACACATTTACAATGGGTACTAATTTGTATATGTTGGCTTAAATATAATGTTATTAATATTAATTTGACTTTTTAGTTCGCCTCCCCCCTTTTTAAATTTGCTATATGGCGCGTGTGCTCGCCACAAAGAGACAAGGAGAATAAGGGAAAGTACAGATGACCATGCCACAGTTCCTTCTCTTCTCTCCTTTTGGGATGTTGGGAATGCAAACACACATACCCAGTGTGTTTTTCAAGCTATCAGGTCTTGGACTCAAACCACACCATAGCCGTATGGATCCAGCTGCCTTTATCACACCACTAACTGGCCCTTTTAGTTTTCTAATTTGGCTACTGGAAAATTTTAAGCTACAAGCGTAATTTTATATTTCTGTTAGACAATTTTACATTTCCACTGGTCTAAAATTTCAAACATAAGATGTTTATATAGTTTTGGAAACAGGTCCCTCTATCTCTTCATTGTTTTGATTACTAAGAAGAAAATTCTTGTGTTTTTCTTTTTTTCTATAAATAGTGAGAAATTCCCTTTTATGTCACTTTCTGGAAATTCTTTCATTATTTTTGTTGTTTGATTTATTTTGACATACACAGTAGGTGGGTATTTGGCTTGAAGGAGAAAGGACATTTGCTGGTGTACTTTCTCTAGTAGATGCATTGCATTTGAAATTTATAACTATTGTATTTCTGAAGTGCATAAGACACTGGTTCTATCAATTAAGGGAAAGCTTCTTTACTGGGGACCCATGGATGTATTTCAGAGGTTTTCTATTAATTATTTAGCACAGTTAATATTTGGAATTAATAGATGATTACTTTTTTCTTGTTTTACTTATACTTTTAGTGAATTGCAGAAAGACCTATCATTGGTGGGAACTGAAAAGTAAAAACCCCCACTATAAAAAGTTTTGAGTAGCAGTGTTTTTTCTTATTTTTAAACCAAGAATTTAGATCTTGAACAATGAAAAAGTCTGTTTTTGCTTTAGTGTTTTTTTTTTTCCCCTTAGATTGACTGTGCCTAATTGGAACTGACCTTGTAGTTACTTTCTGTGTTGTTTTTAGTTTCAGCCCAGGCTCCAAACTCTGCTATCACAGCTCAGACTGGGGTTGGGGTAGCATCCACAGTCCACCTAAACCCCATGCAGTTGATGACAGGATGCATCACATGCTCGGCACATCCAAGGGATCCAACCAGCACCTATCAGCACACAAGGCATCCAGCCGGCCCCCATCGGCACACCAGGGATCCAGCCAGCACCAATCGGCACACAGGGAATTCACTCAGCAACCCCAATCAATACCCAAGGGCTTCAACCTGCACCAATGGGTGCTCAGCAGCCACAGCCTGAAGGAAAAACTTCAGGTAATTTTTGCTTTCTGTATGGAAGGTGGTATAGAGAAGAGATGCTTCTGGGTTTACACTCTGGCATTGCTGCTTGCTGGCTCTGTGATCTCCGGTCATTTCTCTAGGCCTTTATTTCCTCTTGGTAATTGAAGTTGCTTAGTACTTGCCCCCAGGATCGTTTATGTATGTTAGAAATGATGTATGTTTTATACAAACAGCCCAGTCTGTAATTGTACTTAGTGAAGAGCATTCTTTGTAAAACTCTTAGTTGAGAGAGCAAATTCACATTATAGATAGTAGTGTTCTCATTCACTTTAAGGTTTTCTTTACAGTTGTGTGTAAAGCTGAAAAACCATAACTGATATTAGTGTTGTTAGTGTTTAAAAAAGAAATACCAGCAGAATTGGCATTTTGAAAAAAATGGAGTAAGTCACTATGCTTAGATTAGCTGTTTTTCCGATGGAGTTAAAGAAAAACTGTTTTTCAGCTGGGGTATTGATTTTAAAGATTACCTTTTTACTATATGCTATATAGAGATCAACTTGGAACTAAAAATTTTAATGGCATTTAGAGCTTGACTTCATCTAACAAAATCTCTTAGACTCCTAATCACTAAATGTCTGTCACAAGGTACAGTGTATACACAACAGCCCTCCCTCAAAAAAAAAAAAAAAAAAAGGGTACACCTGCTAAAGGCTGACTGTGTTAGGTTGGCTCCTATAAAATTGCCACTTTTATAGGTCAAACATGGGTAATTTCTGATTATAGTCTCTTGCTTACCAGTATTTTAATGCTCATTTTAAGTATATAGTTAAATATCTGTCATCAGAGTGTGTTCCTAACAATAAAACAGAGGATAGTACCACTATTAGGAGTGGAGGGAGATTGGTATTTTTCAAAACTGTATGAGCACATTTCTTCATGTGTATTTGAAGCATGCTATCAAGCCAGCAGATCATGTTTTCTGTTTATTTGTGGCTCTTCCTCTTATTGTTTCTTGACTCTCAGTTTCACATCTCTAATATAATAATAATGGTGGGAAGAATTATGTAAGTGAAAAGTATAAATGCTGGAGTGTGAGATACTTCTCTGGGTACTCTACATACATTGTATATCTTATCTCACTTACTAGTACTATGATTATAGAGCAAGGAGAAAATAGTGGTATTGATGATGCATCAGGAGACTTTGTAACCTCTTCCACTTTTCCAGCTGCTGTCAGCAGATGAACATTGTGCTCCTGTCCCTTTTCCTCTAGAAGTGGATGGTTGCAACATGGATCCCAAATGCCAGCAATCCCATTATTTATGTCTTACACAGCATTTTAGTAATGGTTTTCCTGTTTCCCTCTCTTCATCGTTCTTTCCTGCCACCTCTCTCTCCAGCGGTGGTGTTGGCAGATGGAGCCACAATTGTCGCCAACCCTATCAGCAGTCCATTCAGTGCTGCTCCAGCAGCGACAACTGTGGTACAGACCCACAGCCAGAGTGCCAGCACCAACGCCCCAGCCCAGGGCTCATCACCCCGTCCAAGCATCCTCCGGAAGAAACCTGCCACAGATGGGTGAGTGGGTACTGAAGAACCAAGTGACACCTGGTTCTGGATCTAATTACTATAGATAGTAGGCACTTGCACCAGTGCTGGTAGCAAATTCTCATCTTCCATGGCATTTTAAAATGTCTTCCAAACCAACTTGACCACAGGGTTGTTGGGTAGAGCCTTGCCCAGCTCAGACTGTTGGAGTTAAGAAACCTCAAATCAGGGAATGTTAGTTTCTTGTATGTTGCTTCAGGAGTTTCCTTTAGTTCTGTATTTAATCCTAGAACCTGTAAAGTAGCTTATAGTCACTTCTTCAGGCATATCTAGGTAGTTACATTAACATGTACTATATATGTTTTCCTCATTGCTCAGGGTGAATTGTTGCTAAAGCAAGCAGTTTCTGAAGTATCTTAAAGCTCATATTTTGTAGCAGATTGTGTTTTTATGTTGCCATGTAAGCTTCTCAGTTGGTGAGTTATAGGCTAGAAGGTATGTGCATGCGATTAAACATCCTGGAGGTGGGAGAAGAGTAGTTATGTCTCAGTGAACAGTTTCTTTCACTCAGTTGATTGAAAGCATCCACACCAGAAGATCAAAGCATAATACAAGCTTAACTTGTTGGCACAGGGGTCCATACAGGGCTTTCAGAGGTGTAGAGTTTTGCACAGATCAGAGTTCCTATTGTTGCTCCCTTTAAATATTTTTTAAAAGGGTAAGTCGGTCCATGGCAAAGTAACTATTAATAACAAGGTAAGGCAAGCTTAGGTTCTGTGGCACATGCCTATAATCCCATCTACCAAGTGAATTTTTGGTATGAGGAACTCAAGTTCAAGGTTGGCCTAAGCAACATAGTAAGATCCTGTCTCTTAAAAATAATGTAACATGCATAAACACACACACACACACACACACACACACACACTCTGAAGATAAAGCTTGTAGTTAGGGATGGCAAATGGATCATGATATCTCATCTTAAATTGCAGAATCTTCACAAGGACCAAAAGCAGGAAGAACTGGGGGTGAAAGAAGGGCCCCACTCTTTTAAAGAGGATAAGCTAAATCTGTTAGAAATAGGGTTAGAGCCCAGAATCTTCTTTTGTACCCACACTGTGTTCGCACTGCCCTTCACAACCTAAGCAGAAGCCTAGACCTCCTAACTCTGCAGATGGTCTCTGAGAGTAAGCCAGCTCAGCGGAGGCCTCAGGTATATTGCCAGGAATAGATTATGTGGCCAACTATGGATGGAATGCTGAGACTTTCCAGTCTACTTCCCCTTCTTAGCTGACAGAACTCTGGCCGCTGAACTTTATATTCCAGATAGAATGTGAGAAGAGGACTCTTCTTTCTGTGGAGTCTCCAATCCAAGAAGAAGCTATAAAGACATCAGCACTAGGATTCCATAAGCACAGGGGTTAAGAGTGCCCAGCGGTGACCCTCTCAGGAGATAAGCCCTTCACAAGCTCGGAATTTCCAGCCAGCTTTTTGCCCCCCCACTGTTGGACGTGAACACACCACCAAGGATAACCCAATATCTGAGGGGCCCAACACTAGGAAATAGAAACCACAATAAACATACCCAGAGTGCACCTTGGAAGATGCAGAGGGTAGGCAGGGGGAGCAAAACTGAAAGTAGACAAAGAACTAAAAACAAAATGAACAGATGTAAAAATTATCAATGATAACTTCAGAAAGATAAAAGAAAAAGTTGTATCCATGAACCAAAGACACAGTGCTATACAAAAGGAATATTCAAAGGACAAAAGAAGTCCTGAAATATAAAGTGTGATTGTAAAAATAATATTTATTTTTTAACATTTGTTATTATTTTTAAAATTCAGATAAAGACACAGAGTGAGAGAGATAAAGGGAAAGTGAGAAAGCAAACCACCATATCTGGTACCGAACCATGGTCAGCCATGTGGGAGTCCAGCACCTTAACCACCATGCCACGTCCCCCCATGCCCACACATATTTTGAAATCTCTAGGTGCAGGCTCAAATTGGGCATTCAGCCATGTGGGATCCAGCCCCCTTAACCATTGTGCCAGTTGGTGGCCTGTGTATCTGTTTTTAAATTCAAGTTAACTAAAATGAATAACTAAGCCTTTCATTCCTCAGGCATACCTGGTCAGTAGTGCTAAAGGGTTCCCTTGTCAATAGGAGGTTGTAGACGCTTGATCAGATTTGTGTTTGATTTTGTGCATATATTCCTATGCCCTTGGAGGTCCTTTATATCTGGCTACCTTTTGTGATGCTAGCATTCC